GTCCATCCAGCATAAAAGATAAGATTCTACTTGTCTCAGCCATCATAATAGTTAAGATTCTACTTGGTCCAGCCATCATAATAGTTAAGATTCTACTTGGTCCAGTTATCCTAATAGTTAAGATTCTACTTGGTCCAGCTATCCTAATAGTTAAGATTCTACTTGGTTCAGCCATCCTAATAGTTAAGATTCTACTTGGTTCAGCCATCCTAGTAGTTAAGATTCTACTTGGTCCAGCCATCCTAATAGTTAAGATTCTATTTGGTCCAACCATCATAATAGTTAAGATTCTACTTGGTCCAGCTATCCTAATAGTTAAGATTCTACTTGATTCAGCCATCATAATAGTTAAGATTCTACTTGGTCCAGCCATCATAATAGTTAAGATTCTACTTGATTCAGCCATCCTAATAGTTAAGATTCTACTTGGTCCAGCCATCATAATAGTTAAGATTCTACTTGGTTCAGCCATCCTAATAGTTAAGATTCTACTTGGTCTAGCCATCATAATAGTTAAAATTCTACTTTGTCCAGCCATCATAATAGTTAAGATTCTACTTGGTCCACCCATCATAATAGTTAAGATTCTACTTGGTTCAGCCATCCTAATAGTTAAGATTCTACTTGGTCCAGCCATCCTAATAGTTAAGATTCTACTTGGTCCAGCCATCATAATAGTTAAAATTCTACTTGTTCCGGCCATTCGAACAGTTAAGATTCTACTTAGTACAGCCATCCTAATAGTTAAGATTCTACTTGGTCCAGCCACCATAATAGTTAAGATTCTACTTGGTCCAGCCATCATAATAGTTAAGTTTCTACTTGGTTCAGCCATCCTAATAGTTAAGATTCTACTTGGTCCTGCCATCATAATAGTTAAGATTCTACTTGGTTCAGCCATCCTAATAGTTAAGATTCTACTTGTTCCAGCCATCATAATAGTTAAGATTCTACTTGGTTCAGCCATCCTAATAGTTAAGATTCTACTTGGTCCAGCCATCATAATAGTTAAGATTCTACTTGGTCCAACCATCATAATAGTTAAGATTCTACTTGGTTCAGCCATCATAATAGTTGTTCAGCCAT